GGGGGTTGGGGGCGAACCTTTGAGCCTGCATCCTGAACGCCCCCCCAAAACTGGTAATCAAACAGGTACCCCACCCCCAGCCAGGGTCAGTTTTTTACAGCAAATTGTTGGTTGTGAGTCACTAGAGAGACTGGTTGATGGAGTCTCGCCAGCCACGCAAAGGTACGGTGCTTAGCCCTTTGTTCGTGGACCGTGTTCTATAATACTTGTAGTACATGACTTGTGTAAAGTCACTCCGGCTATGCCTACATGGGGTTATCCCCAGACTGCAGGACACGTACAATTGTAGCTTGTTCTCACAAAACCCTAAACCCTCAACCATAAACACCCAACCTTAAACCCTAAACCCTAAACCTTATACCCTAAACCCTAAACCCTAAACCCTAAACCCTAAACCCTAAACCCTAAACCCTCGACCCTCGATGCGAAACACCATACCCCAAACCCTAAACCCTAAATGGTAGATTCCCGATCTGTAATGCTCGAACCTTTCCCTGCTGACTGGAGCCAGTCAGCCTAAACTCTCAACCCCAAACCCGAGACCCTGAACCCTGAACCCTGAACCCCAAACGCCCAACGCCCAACCCATCAACCCTAAAACCCACACCCTACACCCTACACCCTAAACCCCCCAAAACAAACCCTCAACCCTCAACCCTAAACTCTACATCAAAAACTCTTTAGACCTTGTTGACTTGTGAACCGGGGTGTTTCCGCGTCGGGAGCAGCGAGCCTAAGACTCTCTTGAAGAGGGTCCTCTTCAAGAGAGCCCTCTTCACGCCCAACACTATTTGGCACCCCGGAAAGTGTTGCAGAGGGAGGAGCCCGTCTTAGTGTACGTCCTCACAGCTCGGTGTGTGGTGAGAGGCCTTATACTAAATACCCACACGACCGCCATGTAGGCACCCCCACAGAGGCTGTGACTGAGCAGGACCTTAGCCTTTCGGTTTTCACCCGAGACCGATTTATTTACCACGCGGGAAGCAAGACCCTCGTCGTACGACCCAGCTGAATCTTCAAAGTTCGAACTACACTCGGTGTTAACTGTGCGCAACGAGGTGCAAACAGGCTCTCCGACATGACAAAAGGTTCGGGTTTCGGGTTTCGGGTTTCGGGTTTCGGGTTTCGGGTTTCGGGTGTAGGGCTCTCTAGGGAGACAGAGTAGTGCTCGACGCGAAGCGTGCCAGTCCCAGCTGCCTCCATGCTGTGAGGACCGGATCCGGAACGAAATCTGGGCGCCGGGGATTTTTCCCGGAGCGGGCCTGTCCCAGGCCCTCTTCCTGCGATGGTCTTCACAGGGTGGTGGAGGGCAGAGGGCTGGAGAGAGAGACGAATGCGTTTGTTCGGATCGCAACCAACATGGCCGCCATTTTTCCCCATCCGAGGAGGCCTTTTTGCTGGAAAACACGCTACGGACGTCGGCTCGAGTGTGTCTCTCAGTGCCCCTCAGAGAAAGACACCCTCAACTCTTGGCAGCCAGGAGTTTGCACCGATCGGCAGCTGTCGATGCGGTCAAGTCTACGAGAGTCCCACCGTCTGCGTTCACCAACTCCTTCAGCTAGCGCGGCAGGGCACCGCTGCGCGCAGTTGTGCCCCGCTACGAGAGTCCCCACGGCTGTCTTCACCAGACGTGGGACCCATTCAGCCAGCGCGGCAGGGCATCGCACCCGGTCCCTCTGCTCCAGTGCGCGAGCCGCCCATGCTCCGAGAGAGGGTATGCGACGCAGCCCCCCTCGAGATATGAGGAGCTGGGAGCCTGTCAAGCCCCCCCCACTCCCCTCTAGGGCCCCCATGCGGCCCCCACGGCCCCCACCGCCCCAGGGCCCCAGGGGGGCACGAGTCGGCCCACCAGGGTGGATCGGCCTGCCCCGGGGGGGCAGGAAGGAGGGCGGCAGGGTGCGTGGGGGAAGACGACGTGGCCGTGAGCACCTCGCGCCCAGGCTCGTACAGGGGGAGCAGGCGGAGCACGGCGCCGTCTGCCGAGGCGCGCCAACCCCCCGCCGAGCGGGGAGGGAAAGACCGCGTGTAGGGTGCCCTCTTCGGCGCCATGCACGCTGCCGAAACGCCGCCGCCTTTATTCCGTGGCGTGGGGCCATCCAGTGTCTCTGTGCGAGGGAGGAGCCATGCAGGCGCGAATAGGTACCGTTCGGGCCGCAGCAGGAGCCGCCGCGGCGGCGGAGCCGCCGCCACTCCACGAAGCGGCCAGAGGCCGCTCGCAGGGCGCCGGGGGCGCCCCCCGCCCGCCGCCGCCTGACAGCAAAAGCGGGACCCAAGAAGCGGTCCCGTTTGGGCCGCCAAAAAAAAATCCCCACCACGTGGACAGAATCAAATTTCATTCATGAACCCTCCAAACCTCAGTGCAACAAGCGACCGGGGTGAAGCAATTCGCCCCATCAGACGGGAATTTGGTCTAGCGGTATGATTCTCGCTTAGGGTGCGAGAGGTCCCGAGTTCGATCCTCGGAATTCCCCAGACACGTGACCAAGAACAGAAATGTGCTTTATCAAGTATGGGTCCCTCTCAGGTTGCTGTTCTTTTTGCCTTTCCGGGCATTGCTTTTTGCTTTACAATGTTTGCTCGAAAGTCAACTGGAGTTGGGGGAACCCCAAAGTTGACGGATCTGTCTGCTATTTTTGTCCTATTTTTCGCCAAAACTCCCTGAATAAACCGGAAGCGAACCCTACGGTAGGCGATCTGTAGGGGAACGCCCACCGCTCCTACCAAAGTTTAGACGGCAGCGCCCAGCAATGAACGACGTCTCCAAAATCGCTTCTGGTTCATAAACCCCACAAAAACAAATTGCACAACAAGAGCCATTGCACCAAACACGGCGCAATTCCGCCTCCATGGCTCAGTTGGCAGAGCGCATGCTTAGTAAGCATGAGGTCCCGAGTTCGAACCTCGGTGGAGGCATCTGCTTTTTTGCAGACCTGGCTTCCGGGTCGCGTCCGGTGGCGCGGGTTAGCATCCACAAAGGAGGCGGGCCCGAAGTTGGTCTTTTTGTTTGGTCCATGTTATGAACCCCGGGGATAACTGGACATCCGTAGGATTTTTTTGGCGCAAAACGGTACTTGGAGCCATTTTTCAACCACTTTGATAAGTCAATTTTTGGATGAATAGGACCCCAGCCAGTGGACTCCGGGGACTGAGCACAGGATCGTAGGTGGGTGTCACCCATCTTCCAGCCTGCGCAGACAAGCAAAGTGGTGAAGCGCAAGTGCATCAGCAAGCACTCACGCCCGCGCACCCCCATTCCCATCAGACGGATTTCACGCGGAAGGAGCAATGAGTGGGTTGGTCGATGGTCGTCACAGCAGCCGAGGCGGGGGGGAGGAGATGGGGCGTATCGAGGGAGAGGTTGAGCCTGGCGGGAAATCCAAGGCGCAGGTGCTGCCGGGAATGGTCAGGAAGGTCTCTGTGGAAACCAATCGGGGGCCCTACGAGACGCTGTTGGAACCGGGGGCAGGCCAGGGCATTGATCCAGAGGAGTTCGCGGCCAAGTACGGGTACGGGCTGCCGCAGGAGCAGCTGGGGCGTATCAAGGTCGAGCCCAGCGGGAAGCTGGAGGCGCAAGCGCTGCCGCCAATGGTCGGGGGGGGTCTTTCACCGCCGCACAGCAGGAGGGAATCGTTAAGTGAACAAGGAAGCGCCGGGCCGAGTTCCGCCGCAGATGCCGGGCGGATCGACGCACGGAGCCGGCAGGAGACGCTCCAAGCCTCGCTGGCTGCTGCGATGCTCGGTACGTCTCCATCCATGCACGCACCCCCCCTCCACCCTTTCGCCCCTCGAGAACCCCCAGCTGTGGCGGCACCGCAAGCGTCCAATCCTGCGATTAATTTCCAGTGTCCGCCAATGGTGGGAGTTCAAGGAACCAAAAGGACCTAAATCGCGAGCATTGACCCCCTGCACCTCCCCCCGAGCAGCGCATGCATCCCTAAACCCTAAACCCTGACCCTACACCCCAAACCCTAAACCCCAAACCCTAAACCCTAAATCCTAAACCCTAAACCCAAAACCATGTTCGCAGCCCGCGAGTCGCTGGGCGACAGGGCCGTGCCGCCCTCTCCGCCGATGCCGGCAGCAGGTCTTCTTCTTCTCCACGCCAGAGGGCTCGAAACATCCACTTTTGACATCTTTCAAGGGAAATCCCCACAGTACTTGAGTCAACGACGCCAGATCTGGCGTGGATAAGGCGTCCGTTTCCCGCAAGCCCTCTGGCGTGGCTTCTTTATTGACCTCTAAACCGTCGCGACTTTTGTCTCATCAGTTGCTGTCTATCTAATCAGTTGCTACGCCTCCTGAAAATTGATGAAACTACTAACTACGCAGCGTTGGGCGGCAGGAGGCGAGGCACTATCAGAGCTGATGAAGTCGCTGGCAACGACGCTTGGATGGGACCCTGCGATGGTGTCGCAGGCGCGCCCCCGCCCCAACCTTTCACCCCGCAGTCTTGTCCGCGGAAACATATTTTTCTTTCATTTGATGGCAACAAAAATTACTACGCACATAAGAACGAATTGTGTAGTAATTTTCGTTGCCATCAAATGAAAGAAAAATAGGTTTCCCCGGATAAAGTCGCCCCTGCAGCGATCCATGCGAAGTGATACTGAAATATGATTGCCTGATTTTACGAGTGTGGCAGGTGCGCCCCCTCTCCACGCTAGGGCAGAAGTTCAATTGAAGATCGTGTATTAAAATGACGATTCGTTCGAGTAAAGTTGATTCTACCCGGGAAATTCGCCAAAAATGATGGGAATTGGAGCTCCTGCCATGCGAAACACGTCCGGATTTTAAAACATCTATACCACAATAAGCCATTTAAACAATTTTAGCGCGCACGAGTGTGTATGAAAAAGGCACTTCTGACCTGGCGCGGCTACCTGATTCACGCTACCAGATGCGCGATATCATACGGCGTGTTTGTCATAAACGTGAAAGCCTAATTGTCATAAACGTGAAAGCCTAATTTTTATGGACCTGAAAGCCCAATTGTCATAAACATGAAAGCCCAATTGTCATAAACGTGAAAGCCTACCCCTGGTGGGAGAGAAGATTCTGATGGGCGTTTCCCCCTCTAGCCCCCCCCACCCTTGCACCCTGCAGCCGCCCGTGCTGGGGGGATTCACCAGAGACGTCCCCAGATTTTGGAAACCTCCTCCAATGGCAAGCTTATCCTTGACGCCACTTATTTCCCTCATGTAAAGCAAAAACAATTTAATGCCAGTTTCCTATGTATCCTGTTAATAAATTCATTTCTCAGAGAGCCTTCTTATCGCCACCCCGATCCTCCCAAACCAACGATCTAAATCCTCAACCCCAACCCCGCAGTCGTCCCTGCAGCAATTCATGCGGCGTGATGCTAAAATATGATTGCGTACACAGGGGTACCTCGCTCATGAGAAAGCGCCCCCCCCCCCTAGGACCACCGTAGGGCCCTAGGCATAGGCCTACTGTAGGGTTCTAGGGGGAGGCAGTTTCTTATGAGCGAGGTACCCCTGTAGCATAATTTTACGAGCGTTGCTTATGTACACGCGACGAGGATCCAGAATCTCTGCATGCCTGGCGACCGATGCCCTGACGCACACCTCGCACCTCCACCCCCCACACCCTCCCACACCCTCCCACACCC